CGGAGGCGGCCGCCAGTCTGCGCCCACGATCGGGGGCGGCGCTGCGCCACTGGTCTGGAGCTGAGCCGGGCCGGGAGGCCTCCCGCCCGGTCCTCGTTCCCCCCTCCGCCGCACTCAGCCCCCCGCCTCTCTGGAGAGCCTGGGTGTGAATCCTGCCTCCGCCTCTGCGCCATGAGCAGAGTAACCTTGAGTAAGTCACTTAACCTCTCCAGGTCCTTCTGAGAAGGTCGCAGAGGAGGAAATGATGGGGACAGAGATCAGCTCACCTGTCTTCTCTCCTTCTGGTCCTGGGGCTTAAACTTGGGACGCGGGTACTGTCTCTTAATACATTTTTTTCACTCAAGGCTGGCTCTCTACCACTTGCATCCGACTTTTTTTTTTTTTTAATGGTTAATTGGAGATAAGAGTCTCAGACTTCCTGCCCTGGCTGGCTTTGAGCAGCGATCCTCAGATCGCAGCCTCCTGAGTAGCTAGGATGACAGGTGGGAGCCACCAGCGACCGGATCCTCTATTTTTTTGTATTGGGATTTGAACTCAGGACTGGTCCTTGCTAGGAAGGTATTCTATCATTGAGCCATACCTATTGGAACTTTCCTCTGCTTTTAAACTCTGTAGTATGTGAACAACAACCACAAAAAAAAAAAACCTCGGCTGAGTACAAGTACTCCATACATAATCATTATCCATGCTCATTTTGTACCCCATTCTTACCTCTACAAATATGTGGAGGGTGCCTAATGTAAGAATCCAGGACTGCCAGACACCACAAAGACTCTTCAGAACATGACCATGAGCTGGGTGCCAGTGTCTCATGCCTGTAATCCTGCCTACCCAATAGGTGAGATCTGGAGGATCAAGGATTGAGGCCTCCTATAGCAGAAAAGGCCACTAAACTCCACCTCTGATTACCCAGCAAAAAGCTGGGATGGAGGCATGGCTCAAATGGTAGAGAACCAACCAAGCAAGCCTAGCAAGCTTGGGGTCCTAAATCCAAAGCCCAGTACCTCAAAGAAAAAAAAAATTAAAGACTGTTGGAATCCATTTGGTATAAAAACCAGGCACCATTTCTGTTTCCTAAGGCTTACATTCTAGTGGGCAGGGAGAAAAACCTCAATCCTAAAATTATACTAATGAAGATAATGGTTCGAGTTAAGGAAAGGCCTGGGAAACCCAAAGGTCAGGACAACTTCCCTAAGGAAATAGCTCCTGAGGCAGGAAATTGGGAGAGAGTGGAGGAGGCCTGGAAGAGAAATAACTTGAGGAAGAAACAAGAACTGTGTCAGCAAAGAAACCATGTATGCAAAGGTCCTGTGGTCAGAGGAAGGAAGGGAAGCCAGGGAGAAGAGAAGACAGGAAGCAAGTAGAGAAAGAATAGGATGAAGTAGCAGGCAGGGTCTTGAAGACCACCTTCAGGACCACGCTGGCTGCTATAGGCGAAGATTTCGCTTAATCTTCCTTTTGCTTGTCTGACTAGCCCAGATCTCCAGCCATTCTTCTCTTTCAGGGTCCAGCCTTTCCTTAGCAAGCATTACTCTGTGGTTAATTCTTTCTTCATGCATCAATACTTTGGAGTAGATTCTATACTATTTTTTTTGGGGGGGGGGGTCATGGGACCTGAACTCTGGGCCTGGGCGCTGTCCCTCAGCTCTTTAGCTGAAGGCTAGC